TCAGAGTGCGGACGCCGGGTGAGGGGAACCCTGGTTATTTTAGCTGCTCTGTGTCCAGGTCTGCCTAGAGGTAGAGGATGGCGGACTTCAGAGTGTGGACGCCGGGTGAGGGTGCAGAGGGAGCAGACAGGAGGGCCTAGCTCACCGGCGAGCAGAGGCGGCTGCTTGTGTGGAGTGGAGCACTGGTCCCCTCTGTCCTTCCAACGGTCACGCTCAGCACCAGCAGCAGGGCCTCAGGGGCCCCGGCGGACCGGGGAGAGAGCAGCTGGGGCGTGGGGTCCCTCCCGGCCTCCCTCACACCGTAATGCCCCCTCTGACTGCAGCCTCCCCTCTGGGCTGGCGGCCTGGCCGGGCCCCTGGGGGCGGCGGCAGGAGCTCAGCATCCCTTCGCGGCTGTGCTTTCCTGACTGAGGTGGGTGGGCCCGTAGGGGGGCTGGGGACGGGGCTGAGGCGGAGGGGAGGCCAGGGTTTTCGTCTGGAGCCAGGCCGCGGAGGAGGTCTGGGGTGGAAGAGAAGGTAGGGGCTTGCTTCGGACCCGAGGCTGGAGCTTCGGCAGGCAGGCAGGAGTGCTCTGGGCCCGAGGGGGCCGGCAAGCTGGGAGCGCTACACCTGCTGGGGTGCAGGGCGGTGGCCGCAGGCTGCTCCTGGAGCGGCTGCCAGCAGGCCACTGGGCAGGGCCCCGTCAGGCTGGAGCAGCAGCCGGTCCTCCCAGGGGCCCGGATGCAGCTGCCTGCGCACCGACAGCCCAGCGCACTGCTAGTCGCCAGCCCGCAGAGAGGCCCGACTGCCACCCAGCCGCGTGCACGCGCAGCAGGCGGACAGGCGCCCGCCGGCTTGCAAAAGCGCACGTTCACACGCTCACAGGCACGCTCCCTGGCAGGCTCACACACCCCCTCCATTCCAGATGGACCCCGAAGCCCCACCAACACTTGGTGACAAGAACTCCCAGTCTAGGAGGGAGACCTGTGACCTGCACCCTCCAGTGGTCATGCCCAGTGATGCGCCCGGGACTTCACCGGAAGCGGGGACTGGGGCAGACACCCCTCCCTCTCGGCTCCTCCTCACAACCCCGGTCCCAGGGGCAGCTGCTGCCCCATTTGGCCTCTTGAGTCTGGTCAAGGCCACACCCTGAGCACCTCTCCCTACTCTCTGCCTTACCCGCAGAGGGAGAAGGGAGGGGAGCTCACTGGTTTGTTGGAGACTCCTGGGCTAACCCCATGAAATTGCTCCTCATGGGCCCCTGAGAGGGCCCCAGGCCCCGTGGACATGTACGCACAGATTCTGGTGAGTCTGTCTCCCTATCCCTGTGGCAGCGGCCCAGGCCTGCTGCTTCCCACTAGGGACACCCTCACTGTACAGCCCCTAACTGGTCCCCTGCTGCCATCCACACAGCCTCTCAAATGCTTGGTCTAAGCCACCTGCCTCACCACGCTGCTTCTCTGCTGAGAACCCTCCAGAGACTCCCCTTTGACAACACAGAGAAAGCCCCACTCCTTCCGGTCCTGCCCACTTGGCTCCCACCATTTTCCTCCCACAAGCTTCCCCTGCCAGCAAACCCCCACCCTCCATCACTGCCCACTCACTCATCCTTGTAGGAACAACTCAAATGCCACCTTCCGCACCATCCGGGGCCCTGAGAAGCCCCAGCTACAGTGTGTGTGTGCGGGTCCAGTGCCCCGCACACGCACGTGCCTTCGGCACACACCCTGCTGCCCGCCTCCTCCCCCTCCTGCCCCAGCTGCTCTTCATTTTCCTCTCCAGATGCGCCCAGGGCAAAGCTATTACCCGAACGGATGGCCAGGATGAAAAATTAAATTTCCACTTATCCGTCTCACTCATGCATTCCCTCCTGACTAGTGGGGCTTGGAGCCCAGGGCATGGCTGTGTCCCTCGGACTGGGCCCCCAGAGAACGCGACAGACACTAGCTGTGGCAGGATGAGGGCTGGTGGCGTTGGTGGCTGCTCGGAAATTGTCCATGAGCACGGGAACACACAGCTCTGAAGAGGCTCAGGCTTCCTGGCTGAGCCCTCCAGAGGGGCTGTGAGATCGTCCCTCCTTCCCTCGGGACGGCTGGCGGAACAGCTCCTGGGCCCGTCAATGATTCAGTGAGTGTCACGCTTCCCTGGCTTCTGCCTAACTGGGCTGGCAACAGGAGTGTCCTTACGCAAGGCCCTTCTCACCACCCACGTGTGTGGCTTTGATTGCCACGGTGCCCCGCTCCATACCTCTGGGGAGCACAGGAGGATAGGCTGTGTGCCTCTTCCAGTTGGAGCCCTGGGCAGCTTGGACCCCCCGGCCACGAGGCCAGCGAGGCCTGACCACAGATCCCATGCGGGGCACTACTGTGGCCATCAGCCCCCAGGAGTTGCCCCCCCTCCACAGCTGGCGTCTTTCCTCTTTGTTCCGTAGCCCGGGCCTGGGAAGTGCCCCCTTCCCTTCCTCCCTGCTCCTGGACCTGGTGTGACTCCCTGATGAGCAGCCCTGCACTCACGGGCATCCTGCAGCGTCCTGAGCTTTGGGAGAAGGGACGCCCTGACTTTGCTGTCCCAGCGCTGCCTCGGGCTGGGTAGCACCACTTGGCCCCATAAGCCTAGAAGGGCCTCTGACTGGTCCACTCATGCCAGGGGTAGGATCACGGGCGATCGCTGCTCCCAGGTTTCTTGGCTTCCTCCTGTGATTGCCCAGTCCGCCGTTTCCCCAAAGAGCCCGAGTGGTGGAGGGTGACGGAGTGGTGGTGTCTGTGATCCACCACTGGGGAAGGTACCCCCACCCTGGGAGGGCTCTGTGTGTGCGAGCACGCATCTGGCCAGAGATAAGGGTGAAGATCTCTGTATTACAGACTGAGAGAAGAGCCACACGCTGAGGCCCGTCTGTGTCGTCCCTCCAAGGACACGCCTCACTGCGGCGTGGTCACGCTCCCTTACCAATACCCCTCATCCTCGTCGGCCCCTCGGCCCCTGTGAGGTTCCTACTGAGCTTGGCCCACGTTTTCTCCAGGAGGGGAGAAGTGTGTGATTCTGCCCTTCCCTCCGCCCCCCTCAAGCCTCAGCCTGGAGGACGGGCTGCCTTAGCTTTGCCCAGCTCCACCTCAGATGCTTCTGCTGCCTCAACCAGTCAGAGAGCCGAGGGCAGGGGGTTGAAGAGAGCGGCAAATGACCAGTGACTCCACCTTCCCCAGTGAGGGTGTGACGGAACGGCCCCGACGGCAGGTCGGTGCAGACCCCGGACGCCGTCAGGCTGCTCCTTGGGCAGCTGTACCCGGGACGTACCCACAAACGAGGTCTCCGACGGCTGAGACACAGGCCCAGAGCTGAGGCCTCTCCAGGGCGTGCCCAGGTCCTGTGCCTGCCGTCCAGGAAGCGCGGCCCAACTTCCTACACTCCCCAGCCTGGCTCAGCGTCTTTCTGAGGTCACTGCCCGCGCACGACGCGCACCCCCGACAGCACTTCCTATCCGTCTCGGCAGCAGCAGGACACCACTTCCTGTCCCAGACGGTTCTTTCTGTCACTTTCTTATCCTGCGACCAGCTCAGCTACAATATTAAAGCCACCCCCTCTTCCGGCTGTGAACTCGTGATAGCAACTGCACCCCTCTGTTGGCTTGTTCTGATCCTTGCATTAATCATGATAATGATAGAGATGGAGATCATAATCACAGAGCACGGGCCATTTATTGACAGACTGCTGGTCTGTGCTAGGTACTCGGCCCACATTTTGTAAATTCTGACAACAAGCCTCCAGGCACCTCGTCTTATCCCCATATCCAGAGCACCGTCCACGTCCCAGCTGTCGGACACTGACGTCCGTGGCTCCTGTCATGGCCCATGGGAGGCCTCCCGCAGAACATCCTAGCTCCTGTGCTCCCTCCCTTGGCCCCGAGAGGTCAGGGGGCTGAATCTCCTCAACCGCACTGACACAGAGAAAAGTGCAGGGAAGGTTCGGTCAAGGGCACGAGACCACCAGGGCTCTGGGCCATCTCCTTGCTTTCCCTCCTGTGTCCCTGCCGCCCCCGTGGGTTTCCTGAGCTGCAGGAACAGACGAGCTCCACCTGCCAGCATCACAGGACATGGGCAGGCTCTACCACCATGCCCCACTGTCCCCCGACCCCCGGAAGCATTGTTGCAAATGGCACTTACTTCTTCCCTGCCGGAGCCTCCCTCTGACCCCTCTCTGATCAGGGGTCACCCTGTCTCACACACAGCCTTGTAACAGAGAAAAGAGAAAAGCAAAGCAAGGCCAATGGCCAGAGCCTAAGGGGGAACCAGAGGAGAAAGGAGGAGACACAGACTTCCCACATGACACCAGCCAAAGGTGGGGGACGTCAGCAGTGGGCTGGGGGAGAGAGGCTGGGCAGGGGGCAGCTTCCTACCTGTGATGTTGACCTCCACCTGGCCCGAGCGCGTGCCGATGGGGTTGGTGGCCTCACACACGTAGGTCCCTGCCAGGCTATAGTTGATGGGCCCCCTGAAGAAGAGGGTTCTGTTCTGGGCCTCCACGCCCTTGGGGAGAGAGCCATTCAGCCTGCGGGGATGGGGAGACAGGGCAGAGGGTTAGGACTCTCCGGCCCAGAAGCTGCCTCGGTGTCACCCACCTGCCTCCAAGACTCCCAGCCCTTTTGCTGAGCGAATAATGGGCAGGGTCTGCCTTGGAAGGAGGACAAACAACCACAACAATAATCTCTTGTGTTTCACACTCGATGGTCCCAGCACTGAAACGCAGACAGGACAGGAAGCTACTTGGTCCCACGGAACAGATGAGCAACTCTTAAGTTCAAGGTCAAGGAACACAGGGGTAAGTGACAGAACTGGAGTCCTAGCCAGGTCTTTGACTCCTGGCACTGTGCTCTTCCGGCTACTCCTGGTTTCTTGGGTTGCTGGTTTAACAAGCTGCTCAGGTAACCCCCATGTGGAGGAATCGTGTTCCATTTCACTATCTCATTGTCTCGCTGGACACATCACAGGCCTTTTTCCTGGGGAAACACAGGGGGACTTCCTCCCGATCCACGGAGCCTCGATTCTGTTGGACCCAGCAGCTCCCAGGCACACACAGCTGAAACTGGCAAGCCGGCCCTGGCCACTTGCACCTTCAGAAGCACTTCTGGTTCCAGGAAGTGGACGGAAGGTGCGAACTGGCTGGGGCATGCCGCTGCCCGCTACCTCCCGGACAAGAGTACAGACACAACGTGGGCAGCCATCTCCTGACCATCCGCGCCAACCTCCTTCTTGGCTTCCCCATGCCCGTCTTTCTACGTGTTCCATCCAGCTCTTCTCTGGGAAGAACCTTGGCTCAGGCCATCAGCGCCGGCTGGAGGGCCAGACCAGACCCTTTGAGGGCCAGACTCAAAGACTGGGAAGCCAAGAACCGGAGGACGGGATATGGGACAAGCACGCCATGAACACAAGCATGCTGGGCTGACGGCTGCCCTCTCCTTGAGAATCTGGGGGTGCTGGAGAGAAGGAACAGGAACAAAGAAAGATCTGGGATGCTCCAGAAAGCCAGCTTCCCTGGGGACACCTCGATAAAAATAAATACCGGGGGCTGGGGTGGGAGTGACTCACTCACACTGAATCACCAAAGGAAAACGACAAAATTCTTTATTAGGGAGAAGAAAGCAGGCAGATTATGAGGGAATCCCCCTCTGGCAGAATGGTTTGTCCCACTGACCCTGATGCTGTCAGACGTGGGGGTGTTATGTGTGGCCCCTCGCGGCCCCTCCCCTTGTCGCTGAGAAACCTGAACCGAGACCCTAATTTCCTCCCCAGTTAATGCTCCTGGAGGTGGGGTGGGGGTACCTCCCTGTGACCAGCTAGGTACCCTGCCGGGCGACCGGCCAGCCCCAGAGCACTCACGTGGTCCAATGGTACTCGGTGGCGGGGGGGTTAGCATCGGCTCTGCACGTGAGCTTCACGTCCATTCGCTGCAGGTACCAGTTCCCATCAAACCCCTCGATGGTCACCTCGGGCTCATCTGTGGGGCAAGGGATGATGTTTTGAGAAGGGGGAGGCCAGGAGAGCAGGACTTGGAGTGAGGGAGCCTCGGACAGGGAACGGAGGGAGGATAGCAGTGACACGGAACCAGCTGGAAGACGGAGAGAGAAAGGGGGAGGGAGGGGATCATGGACCCTCAGAGCAGCAGAAGCAAGGAGACTGAGGAACGATGAGGACAGATGAGCCAAGGGAGGAGATGGGGGAAGAGAGGAGGGAGGCCAAAGCACCCCCAGGAAGAGAGAGGGAGGGGAAGGCTAGAGGGGCCAGAGAAGGAAGGGGCGGGGGAGAGCGGCAGGAGACAGAAGCAGAGGAGGAGGGAGGGCTGGTGTGGGTGGGTAGTGGGGAGGGGACAGCGGTGCCCACCCCAGGAAGCCGGCCCGCGCCGCGCGCCCTGCTCACACTGCACGTTGAGGGTGAGGCTCTCCCGGAAGCGGTCCATGTGGTAGTTGACGATGCAGGCCAGGGACTGCTGGTGGGCTTCCCGGCTGGGCACCAGGCGGTAGCGGCTGATGACGGTCACCGTGCCGTTGGGGTTCCGGATCTCCTGGTACTCCGCTTCGCCCTTCAGGCGTGTTTCCCAGGACACCACGCTGGGAGGCTTCCCATTGGCCGAGGTGCAGGTGGCCACCAGGACCTTGTCATCCTGCCCCTTCTTGGCTCGAAGCACTGCCTGGGTACCCTCTACCCAGTTGGTGGGTTTGGCTGCGGGGAAGTGGAGAGCGCCATGGGACCAGCTCTCCCGCCTCGCCCAAGGTGTGCGGGCCCAGGACGTCCCCCTGGCCATCCTCACCTCTCGGCTGTGCACTTCTCCCGGGACTGCTTCACATCTAACCTACGTCCTCCCTGCTCTATGGCTGGTACCCGCTTCTGTCAGGCAGAGGGCTTCTTGGAGCCTCGGCCTGCTCAAGGACAGTGGCTCATGCGGCTCTTCTTACCGTGGTGTCTGAAGCTTCTGCTTGCTTCTTGGTCACCCACAAAGCACCTTGGAGGGGGGTGCTCCGACCTGAATCCTGATCTTCAGCTCTGTCCACGGCTAAGGCCCTGCCCCCAATCCCTAGTGAACTGTGGCCCAGCCTGGCTGGAAGGGACCAGAAGCGCCATGCCCGGAGCGCGGGCAGCATGCCAACCCGAGCAGAACGATGGGGCCATTGAGGCACGCGTCGAGAATGGCCAAGCCCCAGGCCCCAGGCCTCTGCACGAGCAGGGAGGGAGGGGGTCGGGCCAGCTTACCCATCACGGTGAGGTTGAGCTGGCTTTCTCGATTGCCGGCGGGGAAGGTGGCGAACTCGCAGATGTAGACTCCCTCGTCGTCCAGCTCCAGGCGGGAGAGGCGGATGGTGCCGTCGGTGAAGGAGGGCCGCAGAAATTCCACGCGCTCGCGGTAGGGGGCCAGCACGGAGACGCCCATGGCTGGGTTGTAGATGGCCACATTCTGCTTGGAGCCGTTGGTCGCCTTCTGCCACGTGACCTGGGTGATCTTCACGCCGGGCAGCGGGTTGGCAAAGCTGCAATGTAGCACCACGTCCGTGCCGATGAAACCGTACATGGAGTCGTTCACCTGGACCACCTGGGCGTGGGGGCCTGGGCAAAGGAGACGCGGGCGGTGGTCAGCGACAGGCGCGGCCCCTCGCCCAGACTCCCGGGGCGCTGCTCCTTTCTCTCTAGCAGTATTACTCTTCTGAGGCTGATCATAAAAATAGTTAATTGCTTGTAATAAAAGCACTCTGGGTGATACTGAAAAATACCGAGAAGAAAACGGCACCACCCAGGATCCCGCCGCTCAGAAATATCACTGATAATCTTGCAGGAAATATCCTCTTTTACTTTCTTCTCTTTACATTATTTCCCTATATTGCTCCGCGTGACCATCTTTTCTTTTCCTCACGCCGAGGGAGAATCACACACTGTACGTACTGTTCGGCAAGCTGCCTTTTCACTTGGCGATACGTCGTGGGTACCGCCTCATGGCAGTAAATACACACCCCCACCCTTGTTTTTGATGAGGAGGGTCGAGTGCACTGTTTTGCTGCGAGCCACCAACTATATCACCTTCCTGGGCCTCAGTCCCCTTCTGGCAAATGGGGCATAAAATCTAGGCCCCCACCTCACGGGGTTGCTAGGAGAACCAAATGGGACTAAGGAGAAAGTGTGTCAGGAGACAGGAAGCGCTGCCCACATGGCTCCCGGGGGCCACCATGATGGCCACCCCCATTAGGTCTTCTCCCTTAAGGCTGAGTGCCCACGCCCTGGGGCGGGCATGGCTCCGTCCCCTCACCCAGCCAGGTGGGGAGAAGTAGGTGCTGCACAAGGCGCGGGCTCCCCTGGCTCCCGGCTGCCTTCACAGTCTAATCTAAACGTCTTGGCATTCGACATCCCCCTCATCTGTATCCTGCCTTTTTGTCCACATCTCTCCATACGCTCTGCCCTCCGACCATGTCAGCCTGGGCCCCTCCTCAGAACACGCCATGTTTCTACGTTCCCTTCCTCCCTCTCTTCCTCCTCCTAACACTCCTAGACTCTTGCTCATGCAGTTCCCTAGAAGGCCCTAGAAGGCTCTTCTCCTTCTCCACCGATGGATCGCCCACTCAGGCCACCCCCTTCGGGAAGCTTCACAGACCTTCCCCACGCCACCTCTGTTACAGATCTTTTCTGCCTTGGAATGTGGTCATTCATGCCTCTAACTTCTCCACCAGAGTGGGATCTGTGCTTTCCCCTCACTGCATCTCCAGTGCCCAGCCCAGGGTCTGGCACACAGTAGCTGCTCAGTAGGTATTTGTTGCCAGACAAACTGCAACGGAACCCGCGAGAATAGAGATTTGCAAGGAGGAGGGAGTGATCAGTGGCATCGGATGAATGAATCAATTCCCCCTAGTCTCCTCACCGATTGTTTAATTCCCGCTAGAAGGCTTGTTTGAGCTTCGCCCTAACCCTGCACTCGGGGCAGCCATCCCCTCCGGTGGGTCTCTCCGGGGCTCGTTCCCGCGCTCTGTTACTGGCCATACCTCTGTACACTTCCTGTTGTCCCATCCTCATGGCACTCCATTTACTGAGCATCATCAATACTATCAATGCCAGGCCCTGGACTGACCCAGAAGCAAGGGGCCGGCCTCAGTGGTCCCCCAAGGGAGCCTGGAGTTCAAGACTGGAAACTTGGGGCTCCTATTTGCCCCTGCCTGATGGAGACACAAAAGCAGGGCACACTCCTCTGAGGGTTTGGGAGACCAAGACAGGTGAAGGCTCCTTCCCTCAGGAGGGTACAGGCATGTCTCCTAGGTCCCTGCAGTATCCTCTGTGTTTGACATACAAAAATGTATTCAAAAAATGCTTGCTGAATAAGTAAGTCTTTGGCCCCTTCGAGCCAGGCCCTTACCATGCTCTGGAAGCTTCCCTGATGCTCCCGTATCACATGCCTGTTCACAACCACACAGACCCTTCAAGGCCCACCTGGGGTACCCCACTCCGTCCCCTCCCGCTGTCCCCTTGGCCAGTCTGTGGGGTTCTGACATATCCCTGGGCAGAGAGCACTGTGGGCTGGCTGGAGTCCAGTGGAGGAAGCATCCATCAGGGAGTCAGGAGTTGCATTCTGCTGGGCTCCACCTTGAGCTGGCTGTGGGACCTGGGCCAGTCACTTGCCCCTCCTGAGCCCTATTTTCCTCCTCTATAAGGAGCAGGCTGGACTCCCCCAGTCCCTTCTGGCCCTGAGTCTGAGTCCTTGAACTGCAGCCCAGCCCAGCTGGGGCCCCACCCCAGATAGAGTCCCACGGTGAGGTCAGTGGGCCAGCCAGTGCTCCTGCTGACTGGCTGGCTGGCAAGCAGCTAGGCCCTAGGCCCTCCCAGCAGGATAAGCGGGTGCTCCCTCCCCCACTCCCCAGCCTTCACTCACCAACCTGCTGGAGGTTGCCCAGCAGCTGAGATAATGTGGGTATAATTGGGGAACTTTCACCACCCAAAGCCAGAAAACAGGAAAAGCCAGTTGGGAGGGCTTGGGCCATAGGCTGGGGGTGGGGGTTGGGGTGTGGGCACCAGGAACCATCTAGGGATTGGTGCCCAGCACGGTGGGGCCTATAGCGGGACACAGCCCACCAAGCCTGCCTTGACCCCATCTCCTGTCACTCCTCCGCAGGTGTGGGGACAGGCAGGGTTCAGCGCCTGGCACACACGCTACCATTCATTCGCTGTGTCTTCAGCAGTGATCTCACCCTTCAGAGCTGTGAATACCAGGAGGGAAGATCGCCGACAGTGGCCTGGGCGTGGGGGCGGGGCGGGCGCTGTAAGGGGCTCGGGCGCCCCAGCAGCCCTGTCTTGTCCATCAGTACCTAACCAGACCAAGGCAGCCCTCCCCACGCTAATGTCTGTTTTGGGGTTAAGGCCCCTCTCTCCTCTCCAGAGGCAGCCCCATGGGGTGCCAGTGAGGAGGGTGCCTGGCACGCCCGCTCACTGTGCACAAAGCCGGTTGTCCTGGCCCTTGCCCCTTCTGCCCTAGCGATGAGTGGGCAAGCCAGAGCGCGGGAGGACCTCTAAGGAGCAGGCCGACTTAGTTTGATGTTGGCCTCTCTGTCCACAGCCCACTGGGCACAAGGGAGCTCCGGGTATGGGGTTTGGGGTCACTCCCCGCTCCCAGAGTTCTGGAACTGGGAGGGGCTGGGGACACTGGCAAGGTCTGAAGACCCTCCCTTCGCCCTCCACCCCACTCCAGGCTTAGGGACCCAGAACCCCAGCTTCTGGCTTGGGGCCGTCAGTCTTGGCCCGAGGATGCACGGTTGGGGAGATGTCCCTCATTCTTTAGGCTGGGCAGACTGGGAGGCTTTCAGAGAGCGGGGCGCACCTCCAGTGGTTGGGCAGCAGGGTCAGAGTGCTGCAGCGAATGGGGCAGTGGGGATCTCCACTGAAAAGGCAGAGAAAGGGCTGGATCAGGGCAGTGACCCAGGAAGAGGGCCCTCCTCCGTGTAGGAAGAGGGGGACCATCAGCCTTGTCTGGAAGGCTCGGGAGAGGAGGTGCAAACAGGAGGACAGGCCTGTCTAAGCTTCTCCACCATCCGCTCTGGCCTCGATGACCTGGAAGCTGGTGCTCCTGTCTCCCAACACTGCCTGAGCTCCTCCCACCCTCTGAAGGGTTGTTCCATCTCCTCCCCGCTTCGGGCAGCAGGTGGGCTCCTGAAGAGTCAGACAGTGGGGCTTTGCATTCTCCCGCCATCACGTCCGAGCTGTGAAACCTTGGGCAAATGCCTTGACCTCTCTGTGCCTCAGTTTGCACTGAGGCTGCACATCTGTAAAATGGGCCCAACAGTGGTACCTACCCCGTGCAGTTGTTCTCAGGAATTCAATGAGTACGTGTGAAACTAGAGAGCTTCGCGGCACGCTTAGGACAGAATTAAACACGCAGTAAACGTTAGTAGCCATCATCACCACCGCCACCATCATCTGTATCCCTTTCGCTTTCCTGGCACGTGTGTCTAGCGCGTTTCCCGGTGTGTGTCCCCCCCCCGGCTCCCAGCAGATTGCGAATCCCCGTGTGAGAGGGAAGGCACAGGTTTGCCCTCGGGTTGAGCTGACCACACCACGGCTCGCTGGCAGGATCCAGGGCTCGGAGACTAGCCTGCTGACTTTCTCTGGCTCCCCAGGCCGTCAGGGCTGCTCCACACAAGGCACTGTCTGTCCTTCCTCACAGGCCCCCTCTTACATGAGAAGTGGGGGCTGTCCCAGATGTGGGAAACAGGACCACTAGAATGGTAGCATCCTGGAGGCTCAATGGACCATGTAATGCATCATTTTACACAGGAGGAGTCCAGGGTCCAGAGGGGTTGGGTCACTTGCTCGGGGACGCAGAAGAGCATAATCCAGCCCAGTGTTCTTCCCACCCTGCCTTTTTATAAGGGACTCCCAATCTCAGTCTAACTCCCCAGGGCATCATTCTGGGTGGTGTCGCTCCCAGAAATGTGATCTCAGAGCCTCTCTTGCTCCTTTTGATAAATGGCAGGAATACCGGTTACAAATTGCAGTCACAGTGCCTGCAGGCCACCCTCCACTGGGCTTGGTGGGTGGGGGTGGGGGGCGAGAGGCTGGGGGCCAGGGGTGAAGCCCAGTGGGAGCCCGGGTGGGGGTACCTGCAGGATGTACAGAGCAGGAAGGAGCCAGAGAGGTGGGAGTGAAAGGGAGAGATCCCGGGAACCTCTGCCCTCAGTAGAGGGCAATGTGTTTTTCTTTTCCTGACCTCAAGCACTGCCTATATTCTCCCTGACTACCCTATGAGCCCCACGGTCTGGGCCCCGTGCGCAAGTACCTCAGTTTCCCCATTAGAGCTCAGGCTGGACAGCTGGGACTGCCTTCGTGGCTTCCCAGAAGTGCTGAGCCAACAAGGCAGGCGTCGGGCCGGCCCCCCGAGACGTCACAGACCTGTAAAAGCCCCGAGCTCAGCAACAAAACACAAAGGCTCCTCAGTTGTGGCCGACAAACCTGCTCCCCAGGGCCCTGCCTGCCTGCCCTGCCCGCCATGGAGCTAATCCGAGGCTGAGGCCATGGGTTCCCACGCAGTGGGGTGTGGCCCAGAATGGGGGGGCACTCTGCTCCCCGTACCTACCTCGAGCAGTTTCTCTTCCCACCCTTTGAAACTTCAGACCCCTCTCTCCCTGGCCAGGCAGGCTGGGACTGGGCCCATGTGGGCGGGTGAAAGCGGGGGGAATAGGCAAAGGGGGGGGTTCTGGGATTTCTGGCGCAGGCCACCTCTTCTTCTGCCCCCCACCTATTTTCTGAGACTGCCTGGGTGCCCTCAGTCGGGTAGACAGCAGGGCAGACCTGGCCCGGAGGAAACTGGGGCACACTGGGGGAGGAGCACTGGGCTCCCCACCCAGGGCCTCTCTGACACCCAAATCCTTTATCCATCTCTAGGGCTTTCCAGGGATCTCCTTCCCCACCACCACCCCAAAACTGGCAGAAAGGAAGAGGACATCCGGTTAGAAACCAGCTTAGTGGTAAGTGGGAATGACTCACCTATGGGGGGGGGGATAGGGCCTCCAGCCGAAACCCTGCTGAGTCAGCACAGTGACCTAAAGGTTATAGGGCCCCTCCTCCCAGTGCAGCTACTTCCCCAAATGTCAACTCCCAGGGCTGGCCAGGTCCTCACTTTCCAATGCCAAGGCCGATCCACCTGGGGGAGAGACTGGCAAGGAAGAGGGTATGATCAGGAGGGAATCCCCTTTCTAGGGTCCCCTCCTCTGGGAAGGTTTTGCCAATCAGTGTTGCCCAGACCGAATCGTTCTGCCAGCAAGAACCCACATAAGCAGGGTTCTCACTGAGGTCCTTTGAACCCGTCCCGTCTCGTATCCATGCTCCAGGCAGATTTCCCCATTATTCGGGAGCTCCCTAGAGCCCAGACTCCCCTCTCCGCTCAGGACGGGGTCCAGGGTGACCTAGGTCAGAGGGCTCAGTGAGGACCCAGAAGCAGCAGCTGACCCAGTCCTTGTCCCCACACTCCTAAGTCACCCCTCACTGAGGCTGAGTGCCCCCGCCCCCCCACATTGTAGGTGCTCTGCCCGGTGGGAGTGGGCCCTGGGGGTACTCTCTCTGGGAGCAGTGCCTGCTGGGATGGCTCCAGGAGTCCTGGGGCCTTCAGTCCCTGCTGCATCCACCTTGCCAGCAGAGGTGATAACATTCCATGATCCCACAGTCAGGGGCTAATTACTACTGTCCAAACCCAGGCGCCTCCGCCCCTCATTTGGGGTCACAGAAACTGCCGATGTTTTCTTCTTGGCTGATGCCCCCCCCCCCCAACTCCCGACACAGAGCTGGTTAATGATGGGCTGTGGGGCTGGCGCCGGAGCCTTGGGCGGGTGAGTGCAGCGCGTGGGAGAGGAGGGGGCGCGGCAGCCTGGGAAAAGCCCCGAGAAGGTGCCCAGGATCTTCCAAACAGGCTGGGCTGGCCCGCTCCCCAGCGGCGTGGAAGCCGCGGGGTTGTGGTGGGGGCTGCTCTGGCAGGTCCCATCTCTCTGAAACCTAGCAGGACAGGTTGGGGGATGGGGATCAATCAGGGAGTGGGGTTTTGCCTTCTCCCGCTGAGGAACCAGTGGCTGGGACACCTGGACCTCTCCTACAGGTCTGCTGCCTGTTGGCTGCCCCATCCCCAAGGCCAAGGGCAGGGCCAGTCCTGAGCAGCCCCTGGACATCCCAGGAACAGAGAGCCCCTCTCAGTGCTGCCCCTCTCCATCTCTACCTGTTGGTCGTCTCTGGACTGCTCACCCTGCACCTGCCACATTTCCTCTGGCCAGGTGGTGGGGAGGAGGGGCACGTACTGGCGATCAGGAGAGGAAGTCTCTGGTCCCCACTCCTTGCTCATGTTTTTCTATATGGCCTAAGGTAGGCAGCTCCCCTCCCTGGCCTCACTGTCCTTTTCTGCAAAACGAGAGTGTTGGATGCCATGACCCTGGAAGACGATACTTTGGACATCACCTGTCTAGTTCTCTCTCTGCCCTAGCTCTGCACCTTCCCTGGATCACACTCTAGAACTTTTCCACCAAGTGGCTGCTCCACGTCTGTATACTGCCCAGCTCCTCCAGGAAGACCTCTCAGATTAAGTGGAATGCCAGGCAGCAGAGCTGGGGTGCGCAGGCCTCTTCTATCCACGCAGTTGCGGAGTGTGACAGATGCTAGCTCCTGTATGCTTTTGAATTCATCTTTGTTCTCCATCCCCACTGGCCCCCATCCAGACTCCCACTAAGACCCCTCCCACCAGCGCAGTCCCTTCCCCGCCCCCCACCTCCAGCAGAATCTCACTTCCTTATTTTCTCAACACTCCCAGGCCAGGACTCTACACGCCTCCCCCACCCCCACCCCTTTAAGTAAGCCCTGAGCCTTCGCGCTCAGCATCTCATTCCTGCCCCCGTGTCCCCTCCATAGGCCACAGTCATCACTTACTCCAGCCCCGCTGGAGCGTAATGCCGAGGCCACATACCTGCCTCCAGGCTCTCCCCCCACCCATTCACCACTTTCTAAAACATAAATCATTTCCTATTTAAAATCCTTCCATGGGTTTCCAGCAGCCCTCAGGATCAAGTGCAAAGTCCTTTTGGGCTCGGGACCTCATCTTGGGCGCCGGAGCCTGCAGCCACCTCCTCTCCTGGCTCTCTCTCTTCCGCCCCATGGAACAATACCATCCATTCCCTGCAGTTACTCCCTCTGCTAAAAACCCACACCCCGTTACCTGCCCCAGTCCCCTTCATGCTTCCTGAGTGGGGTATCCAGCACCCCGAGGGCCCCAGGAGCACACATCCGTCAGAGCATCTCCCCTCGTGAAGGCAAAGACCAGTGCTTGGCAGACAGGAGGCATAAGGGGGTCCCCGGCGGTGGGTGGAGAAGGCTACAAGCCAGTTGGGGTTCCAGGCCGGGCTTCCGGGTGTAATAATAGCTTCCCGGATGATACCACACATCGGTCAAGGGCAGGGCGGACACAGGACGACACCGCTCACCGCTCGGTGTCAGCAGGTAGGGCAGGAGGACAGCGCTGGAAGGGAAGCCTCACATCTGCACCCAAGGCACGCAGGTCCGGGCCGGAACCCTCTCCTGACTGAGACCAGGAAGCTGCACCCCAAAAGGTATACCTCTTGCCGCCCCACATCCTCTGCTTGCTTCCCACTCGCCGCTGCTTGGTTCCTTTCCTCTCTCCTCTGCCCCAGTTCCTAGCACACAGCCCTGCCTCCTTCCTCACTCTAGACCAGAGGTGAAAAATATTCTTCTCACCCAAGCAAGCTGCAGCTGGAGGCCCTGCTCCCCAGGTCTTAGCCCTGCGAAGCCTGCACGCCCCCCAGTGCCACACGCCTCCCAACACAGCCCAGGTTTCTCCTGGCCGAACCCTCTGAGGCCTCGAAGTGCCCGGCTCTAAGCCTGGGGTTGTCACAGGTCCCCGCTCTGCAGCCCACGCCAACCCCGTCCACCCCACCGGCACAGACGACACGTCTCCCAGCAGACGCCCATGGCGGCCAGGGCTCCCCTCAGCAAGGGTGCTCCTCAATGACACATTTCGGGGAGTGCAGGGAGCAGCCTCTTCAGAGAGCTAGTGCGTGGGTGGTCGAGGCTGGGGGCTGCCCTGAAAACAGGGAGATTCCTTCGGCCTCCCCAGGAGACCCTCTTCAAAGCTGGGTATCAACATACGCATTGTCTCAGTCCTGTGGGTTCTGTGCCAATGGTCACCACCTGTTTGGAAGTCTCTAGATCTGCCTCGTGCCAGAAGGGACTTGTCGGACCACCCCAGTGCCCAGCTCTGCCCACACCCTGTCCGGCTCCAGGCAGCTGTCTGTACCCGAGCCTGGGGGCTAGGCCTGTGCGGGGAGGGAAGAGGAGGGGGAGGGCATCGGGCAGGGATAGACTGCCTGCTTCCGGGGAGGCTCATTCTAACAGGGGAGGGTTGGGTGGGAGACTGAAGGGGGCAATGGTGGGGGTGTAGAAGACAGTAACTCACCCACGAGCACTGACTTGGAGGTCAGACGGGCCTGGGCTGGTATGTGCTGCTTACTGGCTGGCTGACTGAGCAAGCTGCATCAACCTCTCTGTGCCTCAGTTTTGTCATGCACGAAATGGGCACAATTATAGTGCTGTGGCCTACGGTTGATTTGAGGATTAGTTGAGATAAGTCCTATAAGCTCTTAGCACAGTGCTTGGCGCATAGGTATGCTACATAATGGGCTGTATAATTGTTATTACAGGGGCGCCTGGGTGGCTCAGTCGTTAAGCGTCTGCCTTCGGCTCAGGTCGTGATCCTGGAGTCCCGGGATCGAGCCCCGCATCGGGCTCCCTGCTCTCCCTTTCCCACCCCCCCTGCTTGTGTTCCCTCTCTTGCTGTGTCTCTGTCAAATAAATAAAATCTTTAAAAAAAAAATTGTTATTACAGTCTCAGGGAAAGAAGTGCGTAGAAATCAGGCAAGCTGGTTTCCATTCCGGCTCTGCCAGCCACCGTGTGATCTTGCGCAAGCCCTCGCTCTGAGGAGGCCGCTGTCCCGGATCAGAGGTCCTCAACCTTGACGCTATTGACATTTAGGGCCTGATAGTTCTTGGTGGTGGGGGCCGTCCTGTGTGCCACAGGGCGTTTAGCGGCGTCGCTGGCCTCTGCCCACCCTTCCTCCGTTGTGACAACCAAAAATATCTCTAGAAATTGCCAAAAGTTCCCTGCGGGGCAAAACAGCCTCCACTGGCCCAGAGGAGAGGGCAGGGAGCTCGGGTAGGGGTGCTGGCGCGAGTGAGGGATGCGCAGGGCAGACCCTACAAGCCCGGGGCAGGAGGCAAGTGGCTGGGGGCTCTCCAGAGGGGAACTGTCCTGGGTTCTGGGGCAGAGGGCCCAGAGGCGGGTCAGAGCAGGGGTGCAGGCCGTCCCCCCTGCAGAGCCTGCTGTCGGCTCTATAGGAGGGACGTGAGGTGTGTGCTTGGGAAAGGCACGTGGAGAGGACCGGAGGCCCCGGGGAGCCTGCAGCCGACTGCCCCGTGCTGCCAGAAAGCGGGTTCCGGGATGGCGCGTGTCCTCAGAGGACAGAAGGGCAGGAGAGACACAGCTCAGGGGGAGCGTGGCTGGGAGCCTGGGACAGGGAGGCGGGGAGGCCGCGGAGACAAGGCCGTGTGTTTCTAAGAGCAGAAACGAGGCCGGGCAGCGTCTTCCTCCGGCTGGTAAACCGCGATCATCTCGGAAGGTTTGCACCTCATTTGGTTCCTGCTTAAGTGAAATCCACAACATGTGTTCCCTGTGTTAGTGGGGTGTTTGTGCTTAATTAGTGGCAAATTCTTTCATATTAAAGTCATTAAGTTCTGCCGTTTGCTCTTCTCACCCCGGGCCTGGCTCTCTCTTCTGTCTTTTTCCTTTTAACGCAGGTGGCCTGTTGCAGGTGGTTCAGCCTCTCGGGCTCAGGAGGCGCGTGCGCACATGCACGCACACGCACCCCCCCCCCCCCCCCGTGGCACTCGGCCCCACAACAATCAGCCCTGTGCCCGTCCCACCCTGGGCTGGCAGGTGTCGCTCCTAGCACCCCGTCCCCATGCCAGGCTCCTCCGTGTGGGCCGGCCGCTCTGTTCCCTGCCTCTGGGGGCTCCCCCTACGGCTGCCCTGGCAGCGGCCGTCCAGGCTTCGGGGTGTGGGCCGGGGCACTGCTGCTGGCGGGACAATGAGAAGCGACCGTGTCGCTCAGGAGGCCGCACTTACACATCCCAACAGGGATACTGGGATGGAGGGGCGGACACTGCCTGGGGAGCGTCCCCCCACCCTGCCCCCTCAGCAGTCCCTGGGGCTCAAGTGCGGGACCTGTGTGCAAATGCCCTGTAGCCACAGCACAGTGGTGACGCTGGCTCTTGGACAGGCGGGTGCGTCGCCATGATCAGGGCCCAAGACAACCTTCTTTCCACCTGCGTCTGAAGCCACCTCTGGTCCTCTCCACCTGTCTCATTTCTGGGTGGCACTCACGGCTCTGGGCACTGCAGCCGAACTTTAGGTTTAGGTTAGACAGAACATTCCCAGGCCGGGCTGGAAGGGCCAGATCTTCTGCGGAATCCCTTTGCTGCACAGATGATCCAAGACCTGCAGCAGGCCTGAACTGAGCTCCTGGGACTCTCTCTGCAGACTCCGCAGGCGCCCCTGGGACAGGGGGCTTGGGGCCTGAGCTCAGGAGGTACTGGGAAAGCCGGCAGCGAGGGCCGAGATGAGGCAGGAGCCCCTCCCCTGGCCCCGTGCCCCCTCCCCCGTGAAGCCCCTCCTTGAATGTCTCAGTTGCCATGACCTGGTTCCAGCCTCCAGCAGGTCACACCTCCCACTTCTGGGCCATCTCCGTCCCCCCAGAAAGCCTTTCTTGCCACCCTCTGAGCTCTCCTCTGGGCTTCAGGCTTTCTCTGATGCACTCCAGGCAGCATTCAACCTCTTCACTGGGCACGGCCTGGGGAACAGACAAGGGGAAGAGGCAGGCTTCTTCCCGACATGAAACTGGCCAAGGCTTGGGGTCGGTCACGTTTTCTCTTTGACCTTCTTCAGCCAGTGCTGCCCTAGAAGCCTCGCCTACAGGGTCTCCAGCAGGGGGATGGAGGTGGGCCAGGGAAGGCAAACCCAAGCCCTGCAGAGGAGAGCACCTCCCTGTGTCTCACAGATTCAGGCGACTGTCTGGGTAGCATCACAACAGATGGGAGCAGGAGCTTAGGGAAAAGGGACAGGAGAGTCTTTCCACGGCCCTCCTGTCACCTTCAGGTCCTACCTCTTTTTCAGACCCCCGCCCACACTCAGCCTGCTCTGGCTTGGCTGCCACCTCCATCCCGATGCTCTCCCCAGTCCAAGGCTCAAGTGAAAATGGGCATTTCTCTTCCAAATAGAGCCAAAGGTGCCGAATCCCTCAAGCACCTCCAACCTCTCGGATGACACCCGCTTTAGCTGTAACACCGCCCGCTCACTGTACCCACCGTGTTAACCCCAAGAAGTATCCTCCCCAACCACAGTGTCAACCCCAACACCAGCCCCAGCCCAACCTCAATGTCAATGCCAACCTACACCACAAGCCGGGGGTTAAGACTCTACCCCTAGTGCCAACCTCTTCCTGGCTTTAATCACAGAAAGCAGCAGAACCCTACGTGTGGCCATCATTTCCGTCCTAATCTCAGCTCACCCCAGGTCTGAACTCAGCCTCAGCTCGGTGGCACCCCAGGAGGAAGGCGGTCTGGCTGTTTTTTTTTTTTCTCTACCCGATAATCCTCCCCCTTGGGATAGCCACAGGAAGAGGGTCTCCAAAGGGGCCTGACATCATGTTGCAGGGAGAGGCCAGCTCAGCTTGCAGGCCTCCCGTGTGGGCGGGTCTGCCTGTCAAGGGCACTGGGCTTCCCCCACCATCCTGCTCTCCCCCGCCCCATGACACCCACGGCAGGGCCTTGCGGACATGTGCGGTCCCTGGAAAGCCTGCCCTGGGCTGTGCCTTTCCCCGGCGCCCGGGAGGCTGAAAGGGGTGGTGGGCGGGCAAGGTGCCTGGTGCTGCTAATTCCAGCTTCAGCAGTAGGACCCACAAACAAGTCCCACAACCTTCCCGAAACCCGGCCTTCTCACCCATAAAATGGGCCTAAAGCGAGGCCACCTCATTTGGCTGGGGTGAGGATGGAGGGAGAGCGTCTGTGTAAAATGATTTCCGCGGTCCTGGGGTCCTTGGGGACGCGAACCTGCCTGGCTTCACTGCGCTCCTGGCCTCAGGCTGTCACCTCGCCTTCCTCCCCTCCCTTGTCTCCTTTCTCAGCACTGAAATCATCACCCTCTTCTTGGCAAAATGCTGAGGGGAGCAGGTCCCTGCCCTTGCCACAGCCTGTCTTCTTCCTGCCCCCCCGGGGCAGGGGCACAGGGGATGAGGGGAACCAAGAGGCAGGAGGTGAAAACCCCAAGCCCCGGCCATTGCTCCCAGCCCTGCCCACTCTCCCCCGGCTCCCCTGTCAGAGTTTCGAGTGTGTGTGTGTGTGTGGGGGGGGAGTCTTTCCCCACTCTCCACCCCCTTCTCCCTGCCATCCCTTTGCCCAACATGAATCTATCAGGAGCCGCACCCAGGCCCGCTTCCAGCTCAGACTTGTTGGGGTTTCAGGAGTCACTGGGTAGGGGCCCGGCATGCCAGGACCTGTTTCCTGTCCTGCCGTACAGAGAGCGTGCACGTAGGCAGCGGGGCACAGCGCCCAGCTACAGGGATGCAGCCCAGCCTCCGGGCCACCTGCTGCCCCTCCTCCCCTCTCCTTCCCATTCTCATGCCCTCTCTGCCCTGCCCACCGCACTGCTCATCATGGCCCCTGAAAGCCCAGGAGTGGCTAGTGGCAGAGGGGTGTGTGTGTGGGGGGGGGACCCGCATGTTCTGCCATGTCTGAGGGGGGTGTCGCCTACTACCTTCAACTGGCCCAAGACTGGTTCTATCTGCTTAGCAGCAGAAGCCGAGGGTCTCACCGGCTCCCCTCCCTCCCAAGAGGAGAATGTACAGAAGGACGACATTCCTTGAGAGACCCTTGCCAACGGATGGCAAGAACAGTTAACACATGGGTATAACTTATCTGTGCCAGGCCCAGGCCTGAATGTTTACTTATAGTAACTCACTTAATCCTCACAGCAACTCCAGGAGCTAGGTAGCATCACTGTCTCCATTTCATGGATGAGGAAACAAAGAGGTCAAGTAACCTGCCTAAGGTCACACAGTCGATGAAGCAGATTCAACACACGCAGTCTTCATGGGGAGAGGCTGTGTTCTTCACCACCGCATGGGCTGCCTGCGGCCTCCCTTTCTCCCCTTCCTATGGGAGATGAGTGCCTGGCACACTCCTACCAAGCCCCAGAATCACAGGTAAGGGTGGGACTCGATACATGGGACCCTTGCCTGTTGGCAGCCCAGGTGACGGGGGCTGGATCGGGTTCTTTGTCGGGAGGGCAGATGCCATCCCCTCACTCTGGCTCTGGATGAGGCTGAGCCCCCGATCCCCACTCCTGTCAGGACAACAGGGCTGGCCGCGACCAGGCCATTCCCAGCCAATGGGATGTTACTGGGCACTCCAAACACATAAAACCTCCATTCTTTCCTTGTTCCCTTTGCCTCCCAATCCAGGAGTTATAAATCTTGACTCCTAGTCTGAACTCTGCCAGTCTCTGGCTGTGAATCTTCCTCTTTCTGTCCCTGGGATTCTCCACCTGGGAGATGCTGGTGGTCACATCTTCCCCCATTGCCTCTGGGTCCTTGGGAGGACCAGGTATGCCAAAGGTCCGG